ACACTGACGTGAGAGAGACACACATCGAGTGGCTGCCACCCACACAACCCCAACTGGGGCTGGGGACAAACCACAATCCAGGTACGTGCCCTTGGCGGAAACTGAACCCGGGACTCTGTGGTCCGTGGGCTGATGCTCTAACCGCTGAGCCAAACCGGCCAGGGCTCAAACCAGACTTTGATGCACCTGCCCACGCTTGTCCCATCATTGCCCCAATATCTAGGCAAGAGCAGGTCAGCCCTCCGGCCCCTAAGGCACCCCACCGCAGCTCCAGCTCCGTGGGCAAGTCCGCTGCCTGACCTGCTGGCTTGTTGTCGTCAGCTGCTTGGCCAGAGACATCAGAAAGCCCGGAGGCCAGAGCTGGCCCCTGTGAGCAGGGTCTATAGAGCCTGTGTCCACGGAGCTTGAGGGCGCCTTCTGCCCTGGGCCCTGTGGTTGCCTGTGGTTCTCCAAAGCAAGATCCTATCCTGGAAAATGGAGGGGTCACTTAGGGCGTCCAGGACGGTCCCTAACACGGTTCACTGCTCAGCCACCAGCACCGCCGTGGACTCGACGCTGCTGGCGTTGAGAGGAAGCCCAAAGGAGTCGGCGTCTCTGTCCTGGGGCAATGCCGACTCCGGCGGCAGGCACGCGATCCCCGCCCCTGAACGCTCCCAGGCTTGGGGCCCACGGCTGCACGCGAGCCAAGAGGCTGTGGGAGTCAGGGGCCTGGGGCCCGCCTGGAGCGGCCACTTTTCAGCTGTGGCATCCTGGCAGGCCCGTTACGCTGGCTTCCAATTTGCTCGTCTAATTCACAGTGCTGTTAAGATTAAATCGGATAACGCCACACCGGTGTTTTGTAAACCGTGTGCGTCGGGCAACCAGGATCAAGAAAGCACAAGTCCCTACAGTACACACGGCAGACGCAGGTTCCCGGACAACGGAGTCGGGCGGCACTCGTGTGCGAAGGGACGGGTGAGGCAGGAGGGTGTTTAGCAAAATCAAGAGGGCCGCGGGCACGGCCGTTTGGCGGGAAAGCCCCACTCGAAGCCTCCAGGACTCTGGCCGGTTTGGTTTTCCAGGCGCCGACAAGCGAAGGTAACCTTTCCTGAGCACCTGCCCATCCCTAGTGATGACTACCTGCCCCGTGTGTAGACACGACATTCTGTGTCATCTAACACGCCTAGTCTGTCATTACTGTTACCACCAGAATGGGCACAGACTCCTTAAAGCCTCGGTGCTGGGATCTGAGCCCTGGCCTGTGGGGCCTCCAAACTTGGGCCCCTCCTGTGGTATCAGACTGCTCAGCATTTCCAGGCCCCGAACGAGCCCGGCCGGCCTGTCGCAGAACGTAAGGCTCGCGGGGACAAGAAGGAGCGGACGATGAAAGAGGAGAAACCGTGGACAGACAGGCAGGTGGGCAAAGCCAAACCCATCTCCACAGCCTCCTCAACCCCGTCTCCATCCTGATCGTTAACCAAATTGCATATCATCAAGCCCCGTGAAAACCCAGCAGCTCAATTGTAGGTTACTAGGACACACGGGAGGAGGGGCGGCTCCGAAGCTCCAGCCTGCATCAGTTGCCGTGGCAACCAGCATCCATGCAGCAGCCCCTCTGGAGGACCTCCCACCAACCCTGCTGACTCCGACAGACACCGCAGCACAGACGGACCGGCACAGACCGGGGAGCACGAGCATCCTTCTGCTGGAAGAGTCCAGGGGTGTTTCAAGAGCCAGGGCCTCTCTCAAGCCCCTCCTCCGCCCACCGGACCCAGGACCCTGACTCACACCTTCCTCCCTCTCTGGCCCCTACCTATGTCCCCTCTGCAGCCACAGTCCCTGTCCTGCAGGCACCCGGGACTCAGTGGGACACATTTCCTTACCCTCTGGCTTCCAGGAAATGGCCATTTCCCCCCGACTCACTTCCCGCTCCCCCCCCCGTGTTTCCTGCAGTCACCTCCCCTTGTATCCAAATCTCAGTCTCCAGGAAACCTCAGCCCAAGACACTCTTCATGCATGACGACAAACAGGTGCGAGTGAGGGGCAGACAGCCTGGGCAGCCTGGTCAGGATGGGGAAGAAGCCAAGCTCACTGTGAGGTCCTGATACCACCAAGCTCAGCCACACTACATGGCTGCACCCACAGCCCAGACCCCAGCTGGGCACCTCTGGCCACACGCGGGCACGGCATGGCATGGACAGGCCTACCTGGGTCAGAACATAGTCATTTTGCTGGGCAACCCACTTAGGGGGGCCTCCCAGTGAGGACCAACTACTGGGTCATCCCAGCAGCCTGCTACCCTCTGTCCAACGCCGGCGGGCGAGAGCCAGCACGTCGGTGCCCGCCGGCGTTTCCAGCCGCCGCATCCTCCCGTCGGCCTGGCAGAGCGGGCACTGCTCTGACCTTCAGCCGAGGAAACAGGAGCAGAGGATCACGAACGTGCACAGACTCCCAGCCGTCAGGATTCGAACCCGAGGCCCAGCCGCATGTGGACCAGGAGGCATCTTCCCCTCCTGGCTCAGACGCCATCCAAGGGCAGGAACTGTTTCCCTCCTGAACGTCAAGGCCGGGTCCTCCCCAGTGTGGCCCCCACCACCCTGTGGCTCAAGCCTTGCATTCCACGGGCCACAGCCAGGACGGGTCCAGCTGCCCGCTGGGTGGGCCACCTAAAGAGCCGCCAGGAAACAAAGACAAAGGCAGAGGAAAAAGAAGACGTCTCCCTGCTCATCTGAATTCAGAAGGAGGCTCTCCTTGTTCAGACCTACTGCCTGTGCGAGCGCATTCCTGTGGCTGGAGGGAGTGGGCATGGAGGTCAGACCTCAGCCCAACTGGACAGCAGCAACCGAGCTCCTTCTCGGGACAGGCTGCAGGGGCCCAGGCGGCCCCGCAGGCTGGGCGGTGTCGCTTTAAGACCCGAGCTCACTGCCTCTGGCAGCTCAGAGCCAGCCTGGGAGGAGGCAGGAGCCTCCAGTTTATTTTATTTGACATTTTTCAACGTCAGGGCACTTCAGAGCCAAGGAGGAAACAGATCCCATCTGCTCCCGAGCCCCCAGGCACAGTTCAAGAGGACAGGCGGGGGTGGGGGGAGGCACGGATGAGGGGAACGCACAGCCGCACACGGGACCAGCCGAGGAGACCCGGACCCGGACCCGGAGCCCGCTGTCCCCGACACACACCACAGGCCTTCTGGCTTGTCTACGTCCTGTGGCCCTTGGCGTGGGCCCTGGAGCACAGTCCTGCCATGGCTGGTGGCTCAGCCTAGGACTCCGGTCTCTTACCCTGCAAAGCTGGGTCACAGACAGAAAGGGAGACACTAGGGGTAAACCCAAGTCAGAGCAGGGAGGGGACACGGGGCCGGCCGGCGGGCCTTCCCCTCTGGGCACACGTGGCCCGAGACCCCGTGCCTGCATCCATGTGGGGCGCGCCCTTGCCCCCTCCCGCTCCGACCTGGGGCTGGGATGGGGGACGGACGGCTGAAAACCTTATCTTCTCTATAGATTAAATTCCAGACCTTCCTATTTTTAGAGAAACGAATTCCTTTTCTCTTTCCAAGAGGTGAACATGCCCCGCGCTGTCACTCAGGACATTTGGCAGCCAAGTCACCATGGTCTGCGGGGTGATGATGGGGACAGCACCGCGGCGGGACGGGGTCAGGCGCGGTCCGTCCAGGTGCCGACGTCCAGGAGGACCACGGACAACCGCGAGCTTGCAGGAAGGCAAGGGGCGCACGCGGGGAAACGGGGATCGTTGAAGAGAAAAAACTGGGGGCGTTTTTGGGGGGCGGTCTAGAGAAGAGACTGCATCTCGGGGAAGGTGTTGAAATATCGGGGTGATCTACACTTGTTCGGTTTCTTTCCCAGATGACCACGTTTGAAGCACCGACGTGCGGACGGCGGTGACTCCCCGCGAACGTTCTCGGCGGTGGCGCCCTGGCTTCTCCGGCCGACACAGCGCTCGGGCGAGCAGGGCTGGCCGGCTTCCCTGCGGCCCCAGCTCCGGGCTGGCCGGCCCAGCGCCGCGGGCCTTGGGATTTACAGGCAGTAAACAACCGCACTCCCGCGTCAGCTGTTTGGCTCCAGGGCGGCCCCTGGCAGCGGGAGCCCGCCAGGCCCTCCTGGTTTACCCCTGGGTGGGGAGCAGTGGGTGGCCAGCCTGGGCCGGCTCCCTCCTTCCAGTCTCGGAGCTGGAGGCTTTCCCGGGGAGAGGTCGCCCCTGCCGCTACCTGTGTGGTCCCCCGGAGGGTCCCAGCGATCGGAAGGAAAGTGCAAACACGGTCAGCTGAGGCGCCCGGGGCAGCTTCCAGCACACGTGTGGCTCTGTGGTCTCAGGGCTGGGCCAGCCCGCTGTCCCCCCATCCTCCCCACACCCTCCCAGCTCTCGCCCCGTCCAAGCTGCTGCACAAACCCCACCCTGTCGACGGGGAGGAAGATAAGAAGACGAGGGTCCCCAGGGTGAGGGCAGGGAACACGGTGTAACAGACGCAGGCCGGGACAGGAGGGCACGGGACTGCAGGGGAGGAGCCGACACGGGGGCCACAGGGTAAAATGGGGACAGGGCCGGGAGCCCTGGAGGCACAGCTGCTACGGCCACCCCGTTTCTTGCCCCCCTCACCCACACTCCCACTTTCTCCCCTCAGCAGCCTCTTGAGACAGACAGATACGGTCTTATCACCCTCTTTTCACAAACTGGGAAGCAGAAGAGGTCGTCCAAGGTCCACGCAGTTAGCAGAAGCGCTGAGACCCACACGCTTCCCAGGGCCCCTCCTACCAGCCTTCAGGGGTCAAGCGCCAGGGAGGGGGACACCACAGAGTGACAGCCACGGGGGCCAATGAGAGGAAGCACCAGCCCGCCACGCGACGTTGGCTCCGCCCACACACCCACGTCTAGAAGGACGCGTGGTCACAGCCGGAACTCGAGGCCCTTGTCAGGGTGCAGCAGGCAGCAGCTCCTGCTTTGGGGCCCCGTCCCATAGGCCTCTCTGTGCCCCCCACCCGCCCCAGCCGAGCAGGGTCCGCCCTCACCCGGTGGTGATGTCGTCGTCCTCTGTCATGGTCTTGCCCATGAGGTCGCTGTCGCTCATGTAGCCGGACTTCAGGTCCGAGTCGTCGCCGTCCAGGCGAGAGATGTGGCTGAGCTTGCTGGGGCTCCGCATGGGCATGGTGTGCGCGTACAGGGTGCGCTCCCCGTGCATGCACCAGGCGGGCGGCCCCTCCGAGCGGCAGCCCCCGCCCACCGAGGGGGCATCCCCTGCCTGCAGCCGCGGGCTGGCCTGGCCATAGCGCCAGGACAGGGGAGACGAGCGGTTGGAGAGGCTGGACATGCTCCGAGGGTTGGCGTCATCACTGTCGTAGCAGGTCATCTCCAGGGAGCTGGGCAGAACAGAGGGCTGTGGTTACTCCGGGCACAGCTGCCTCACGACCTGCCCTCAGACTGATCCTCAGACCCTCCCACCTGCCCAAGGCCACCTCCTCCAGGAGGCTCCCAGACTGCTCCCCAGACCCTCCCACCTGCCCAAGGCCACCTCCTCCAGGAGGCTCCCAGACTGCTCCCCAGAGCCTCCCCACCTGCCCAAGGCCACCTCCTCCAGGAGGCTCCCAGACTGCTCCCCAGACCCTCCCACCTGCCCAAGGCCACCTCCTCCAGGAGGCTCCCAGACTGCTCCCCAGAGCCTCCCCACCTGCCCAAGGCCACCTCCTCCAGGAGGCCCCCCAGGATGCGTGTGACCCGTCATCTGCCATCTCAGGCTGTCAAAGGAAACGACTTTGGAGCGAGGAAGGCAGTCTGACACACCACGAACAGCGCAGACTGGACTGTGAGCTGACTACCGTTCGCTCCTGAGTGAGCCAAGGAACGTAACTGAACCTAAACCTCCCCTTCCTCATCTGCCAAGTGGGGACAACAGCTTAGCCGCCACTTCTCGGAGCTCAGGATCACACGTGTGACAGAGCCTGGTAGACAGATGTGCTCGACACGCGGACGGGGCCGGAGAGACCCCCTGGTGGGGGCGGGACGGGCCACCGGAGCCCACGAGGCCCGTCACTCTGCTCCATTCCAGTGATGAGCAGAGGGCTAGCTCACTCCGAACTGAGGCGGCAGAGTCTGCGGCAGGCACAGAGGCGCACACAGAGCTCGGGGGCCGGGGCCGCAGAGGAGGAGCCGCAGCAGAGAGCAGCTTCACTGGGCAGCAGAGAGCACACAGCAGTGGGAGGAAGGCCAGGGCCCCGTCCTCAGGGCAGGCTCGGCCGAGTGCAGGGGACGGGGGACGAGAGGCCCAGGGGAACCGCTGTCTGCAGCAGGCTACACCCGGTAATAAAACAGGCAGAGCAGGCTGTGCTGAGCCCGGATCCCGCAGGTCTGTGCCTGTCTGCTCCTGTCCGGCGCTTACACTGAGCGCCCCCCAAACACCTGAGCCGGTGGGGAGAAGACACTGTTCCCGGCTCCAGTCCTGCACCCAGGCCTCCCTCCTGCCCCCGTGGGGGGAGCACATCTTGTGGGGGGAGCAGTGGGTTGGAGCAGAGAGAGTGAGAGTTTCATTTCCTCCCCTGTCCAGCCCCCCGACCCAGACGCTTGCTTCCCTCGCTGGGGCACGAGGAAGCAGGGCAGAGCGGAGGTTTCGGGAAGGAACCAAGTTCCGCATCAGCCTGTGAGCTCCGGGGTGAGGATGACCCCGCCGGAAGCCTGCTGGCTATGGGCCCCTCCGGCAGGAGCCTGTGTGCTCTGCAAGTGGGGCCCAGCACTGTGCCCGCAGGCAGCCTGCGTGGGTGCTGAGCCTGACGCAGACGCGTCCTCATCAGCCTGTGAGACACGGGGGCCGCGCCCTCTGCACCCGGGGGCTGTGTCTGTCCTGTCCACCCAGGGACTGTCTGTCCTGTCCACTCCCAGGGCAGAGGGAGGGGCTGAAGGTGGAAGGCACTTCAGAAAGTAAAAGAAGTAAGAAAATTCAGGGACTTGCCCGCCTGTGTGGCCCAGCGGACTGAGCATCATCCCATGGACTGAGAGGTCCTGGTCCAGTTCCTGGTCAGGGGTTGTGGGCTCCATCCCCAGTAGGGGCGTGCAGGAGGCAGCCAATCAGTGTTTCTCTCTCATCGATGTTTCTCTCTCTCCCTGCTTCTCTCTCTAAAAAAATCAATAAGAAGACATTAAAGACAGTGAGAATTCGGGAAGTCAATGTCTCCGCTATCCATGTGGGGCCGGAGCAACAGGAACCTGTGCTGGGGGCAGAAGGGCCCCGGGTCCCTAGTAAACAGAAACCAGCACCAGGGCTCTTGGTTCCCCTTCCCGTGAAGGGAGACAGAAGCCCGAGGCCTGAGATGCGCCCCAGTCAGCTGTATGCAGAAGGCTTTTGGCCTCCCTCTCCCCGACCCCCACCAAACAGTGCCTGCCTGGGGTCAGGCTGCTCTGCGCAACTGGGGGGCTCAAAATCAGTGGCCCCAGGAGGCTGTCTCTGCCCTGTCCCTGGGGGTGAGTCACCCAGGGTGTGACCCTCTTGACAACTAGGTGCTTTCTGCCTTCCCTGGCAAAGGGTGGCAGCAACTGGTGCTGAGCGACATCCCGGCAACTTCCCTGGATGGGGAGGGAGGATGTTCACAGTTTCATCCACCGGGTCTCTAAAATATGAGCCAAGCTGAGCCCGATGCCTGTCCCACTCGGGGTGCAGAGTAGAGGCAGATGGAGGGGGCCTGGGTCCCAGGGCTCCGGGAGCCCCACCATCCACTTTTTCCTTAGTCCTCCTTGACCACATCCTTTCCAGTATCCAGGGCTCTGCCGTCGGAGCAGAGGTGGCCCGGAGCAGAGGGGCTCCGCTGTGCCGCGGAGGACACTGTGGCTGTCTGGAAGCGAGGGGCCGAGGAGGGAGGGTGGGTGTGACTACGGGGAGGAGTGTGGAGGAGGGGACGGTGATCTTGATGAGAACTAGAGCTGGTGGGCAAAGCTACAGATTGTAGTTCTAATTCAGAGTCATGGAGATCTCGCCATGGCTGGGATGGTTCAGAAGTAATGAGTTCCCTGTCACTGGAGGTATGTAAATTTACTCTGAATTTCACTTGGCCACACACTTGGGGTAAGAGAGTCCTTTTCCCATTGCCCTGTGTCCCAACTCTGTTCTCGCTTTCCAGCCCCAGGAGATGGGGAGGAACCCACTTCCAGTCCAGCTGGAGAGGCTGCTGTCCCTCTCTGGCCTTCCTGTGTCACACCCCCATGATTTCCCAACCCTGGCTGCTGCTTGCTCTCCCTACCCCTGAGTGCAGCCCGGCCCTCTGTCCCCCTTGGAGCTACAGCATGAGCTCATCTGGGCAGCCGAGGAGCCAGTGGGGGAAATTCTGAGTCACAGAGGCTGTGGCCAGGATGCCCTGCAGGGGGAGGGGTGGTGGGGGAGGGTGATGCCCTGGGGTGGGAGGAGGGGCACACCACATGGCTCGGGGTCTCCGTGACACTGTGTGGGCCCCACGGAGCTTCGAGCAGAAGAGACAAGAAGGAACCTAAGCACAGAGTGAAAAGACCCTGGTGTTGGGGGCCCCACCCCAGAATCCTGGAATGAGGGGCACTTCAGAGAGGGAAGAGGGAAGCCTTCAGCGACACCATGTGACAGAAGGCGGGGAGGCTGAGGAGTGGAAGTCTGGAGCAACCCTGGGGCCCTGCCTCCAGCACCCTGGAGGGGGACCCGCTGCAGCCTACCTGTGAGTCACCTGGGAACCTCGCAGGCTGGACATGGTTTCTTCCAGGTTCTGTCGAAGGTCCAGGACATTCTGCACCGTCCTCTTCCTCTGGGACTCTGGGTCTGGGAGGGAGAAAGGACGTTGGGTGTGTGAGGAGGACTCCCCGCTGGGAGCCTGGGGCATCAGGGAAGCAGAGATGGACCACCTCCCCAAGGACCAGTCCCAGGGCAGGCTGGTCCCCTGCCTCTCAGGGATTCTGAACCCCTGGACGCCTGCCCTTGACCATCCTGCAGCCTCAGCCTTGGGTAGGGGCTTCAGGCTGGGGGCCTGCTGTGTGTGGGCGCCTCCCAGACCCCCCAGTGACCGTCACAGCAGCGGTCCCAAGCCAGGTCTCCCATGGTGGAGGTCAGCCGGAACCCCGCTTCCAGTGACACGCTGGGAAACGCTCACAGCCAGGCTCTGAGCGGCAGGGACACCGATGTGGGGTGTTTGCCAATTTCTGTGGTGTAAATACTGCCGCGGCTGCTTTCAAGAGGCTAACACGGGGACCACAGAGTCGTAAAGAGATGGTATCAGCTGCCCCTGGGGAGCTGGTACGAGTTGCCTGGGGCACACCACACTCTGGAGCCCCCGGCAGCTAGGTCAGACAGAGCCCCTAAAAGGGAGGTGGCCGGTGGGGAGGGAGAGGAGGGGCTGCACAGTCATTTTCTGGAGCATGAACTGAGCTCTGGGCAGTGCAGACCCCTGGCACGTGGCACCATCCTGCTGGAGGAGGGTGTGTGGCTGCAGCCCCACCCTGAGTCCCCAATGACCGGGTCCCCTGGCCCAGCCTTGGCTTGCAGGTAGGGTGTTATTAGCTGGGTCAGATGAGCACCTGTGAGAGCAAACAGACACTGACCTGTCTCCTTTCTGGGGTGAAAACAACATGCCGAAGGCTGAGCGCTACCTGGCATGAAGGAACAAGGACGTTCTCCTTGCTCCCAAGTCTGTTCAGGCACGTGGTGCTCGGGACCACAGCAGGCCCCAAGGACACGAATCCCACAGGACCTGCCCCTGGCACATGCTTGGCTTTGACTTTGGGACCCGTGGCCGCTGAACAAAATCCAAAGCCTCCTTGAGACAGTTCACGGAGAGAGTCAGGGACCCCGGCAAGAGCAGACCCAGGCACTCGGACTCCCCATCTCCAGACCCTCCGCAATCCTCTCCTGAAGACCCAACTGCCCGCTGGTGCCCCCAGCCCCAGACTCAGCAGGAACGTGGGAGGTTCCTCGGCCACCAAAGGGAACATTTCTGAATCCCTCCAAGAGGAGGCATTTCCCCCAAAGCTCAGGCCACTGGCAGGCGGCTGCTCGGCCGTGGGAGGCAGGCAGGGTGGGCGGAAAGCCAGGCAGCACTATTCCTGAGAACCAGCTACACCCAGCCCAGCCCCCCTTCCCCCCCGGGGAGCTGCAGGAGGCTGGTGGCATCTCTCGTGATCAGCACCACGGACCCAGGCCTCCATGCTGGTGGCTAGAAGGAGGGACAAATGGCAGGCCTCCGTGCCAGGGTCCTGAGCTCAGTTGCCAGCCTGACGTCACCTCTGTGGCTGCCATGCCTATTTATCCTGGCACATGTCACCCTGTGAGCTGCTCCCTGGCTTTGACTGATGGCTTGGCAGGGAACACAGACATGATCAGAAAGCTTATGTATGTATTTCTACAATGCCTATGTAAGGACCAAGAGCATGGTGCCAAGATATGGGATTCTGGGCCAGGGCAATGCTTTCTATGGGTTTGGCAGGGGCAAGGGAAAAGCCTGGACAGAGGAGACTGCTCCAGGGGGTGTGCGGTCCCAACAAGTAGGTGACCAGGAACCACCCCGAGACTGAGTGTGCCAACCCTTTGCACGCATCACAGAGACGAATCCTTACAGTGCTTATGGGACAGCTGTGCCCTTGTCCCATTTTACAGATGAGAAAACTAAGACTCAGAGAGATGAAGTCAACAGGCTACTCGCCCTGCACGTAACACCAGGCAGAGCCACGTCCGTCTGGGGAGATGCGCCCACTCCTTCCGATGTATCCCAGGGAGTCTCTGCACCGCAGCGTCAATGACGTCCCACAGTAGGTGCTCAATGAGCATTTCAAGAACAGATGGGTGCTACCACAATACACACACACACACAGCATAGATGGATACATGTTCCGTTAGGATGTCTGCTTTTTTTTTTTTTCCCCTCTTTACTGATTTTAGAGAGAGAAGAGGAGAGAGGGAGAGAGATAGAAACATTGATGAGAGAGAACATCGACTGGCCGCCTCCTGCACGCCCCCCACTGGGGACTGGGCCCACAACCTGGGCATGTGCCCTGACCAGGAATCAAACTGGTGACCTCTTGGTGCAGGGTCGACGCTCAACCACTGAGCCACACTGGCCAGGCTGTTTGCTTTTGTTTGTAAAGGGGAAAAATACTAACTCCCAGAGGTCAGCCTTGGGAGGGTCACTCTGTGTCTCCTGGTCACCGTGGGGTCGTGACAGAAAAATAGACACTTTTCACTTCTCACTGAGCTGAGCGCTGTGCCCTCGTCCCCACCTGGCTTCCTTCCAAGATGCCCAGTCCCTGCCTCATGTCCATGTCAGCAGAGCGGGGCAGGATTGCCCCAAAGTCCCATAGACTTGCCAAAAAATAGAGCTATGGAGTCCTTGGGCGGGTCTCAGTCCAACCCGGTCACTGAGCGACAGGCCACAGAGAGACGTTAACGGAAGCCTCCTCCAGGTGCAGGTTTGGGGGTGCGTGCAGAGGACCAGGTTGGGGCTGATTTGCTGTGGGGTGGCCTGGAGGGCCCCTGTGGCTCCATCCGCAGCACCCTGTGCCCAGCAGTGCCCCCTGGTGGTCACCGTAGGCATTCCACCCTGCTTCTCTAAGGCTCCTCTCAGGGTGGGTCTGGTGGGCTGTGCCCAACATTCCTGGGTGTCAGCACACTCGGGGCCTCAGGGGCCTCCTCCAGCCTCCACTGGAGGGCTGGAACCCCGACAGTTCAGGGACATACAGGACAGAGGAGGGACTTGAGTGGACCCATCACCCAACAGACAGATTTCCCCAAGTTTTACACAACTTTAATTACTAGCTGACAATTCAAGCACCTTCAATAACTGCCTGTTGAACTCTTGACTACTTCCACCCACATTTCAGAACCCACATGAGCGGGTCCGCCCAGGGCGGAGGCCGTGGGGGGCTGCGTTCGCCCGACAGCCCGGCTGGGGGACCAACAGGGGTCCAGAAGGGAGTCAAAGACGGACACTTTCAAGTGTGGCATTTCAGAGCTCGAAAGAATCACCTACTTTCTCACTTTGTACCTGGGGGAGACAGCGGATCACCCAGGCTGTGAATGGGGTGGTGTCTCCTGGCCAGGGCTCGTATTCCCAGAGTACTCTGTCTCAGCTGGGTGACCGGCCCCCCCAAATGTCCCTGCCTCCCCGCTCCTGCAGAGCACGGCGACCACTCCCACAATCCCCCCCCCCTCTGCCCACCCCCTTCCTCCCTGCCTGATGACATCAGAGGCCCTAGAAAGAAGGCTGGTGGGCCTCCATGCAAGAGACACCCCACCTCCAGGGAGCACGTTGGCGGGGGACCATTTACTCTGTTGCTAATCCTATCGTTTTACTCATACCCCCACGTACGTCACAATATTGTCAGGGCGGTTGTCACAGAACCCTGCAGCGTGACAAAGGGCTCCTCTTGTTGAGAGCTCCTGTTCCCCAGACGAGCTCCCAGGTCTCCATCGCTGTCCGGGAATCCTCAACCCTCCTGCCCGGCAAGTGAACCGAACAGGAGCCGAGTGTCCGGTGGCCCTGCTACTATTCGTGGGGGCAAGGACAGGACGACACGGCGATGGAAGCGAACCTGTGGCCAGCGAGAGGGTCGTGCAGTCACCCCTGGCCCGGAATTGCCAGGCAGGATTCTTTCCTGGTCATTTGGTTTTGACTTTTTTTCTTTTCTCTTTTTTCAGGGGTACAACATAAGGATTTGACATTTATGTACATTGTATACACAGTATGCATTGTATCACCACATGCCTTGAATTACATACATTGTGTCGCTGTAGGCATAACATACATTGTATCACTGCATACCTTGTATCACATACACTGCATCACTGTATACACTGTGTATGCTACATTTGTATACATTGCAGTGAGACTTTGAGTCGTGTGTTTCCAATGGGCACTGTGCTAAGAGGAAGTGAGGCACAGAGCATCGGGAATGAAAGCAGCTCGGGGTAGACAGGAAGCTCTAGCTGGGTCTTCCCAAGGGCACATGCCAATGAGCTGTGGGGCCTTGTGTAGAGTACTTCCCCTCACTGGGCCTCGGTTCCCCTATCTGTGAAATAAAGGAGTTGGGGTAGGGACACCCAAGGCCCCTCACTAACTCTGACAGTCTGGTTCTTTAGCTTTGTAATTGGCTCCAGCGTCCCTGGAGCATCTGTTTTCTCTCCCAGAGCGCATTGAAATGCAGGTGCCAGGTGTCACCCACGGATCATGCTCCTGCAGGTGGACGGGCCCAGGAGTCTGCACCGCTGCAAGCCCTCAGTGTGGGTGATACGACACGAGGTCAATTTAAGAAACACTGATACAGCGCTGCACACCCCGGAGTAGGGTATTCCTCACAAAACCGGGGCTGGATTTCCTGAGGTCAGGCTGCTGGGCTGTGTCCCGAGCCTTCAGACCGTGTCTACTCTTGGTCACAGACCCAGGGGACAGACCACACCCCTCTTCAGGCTTCGGAGACGAGGAGCCCCTGTGCCCTGCTCTCAGAGGATGCCAGCCCCGTCTAGCTCCCACCAGGGTCTCTGGGGCTGGCTGCCGAGAATGGCCACAAGGGGGTGCTGCTGGACCTCAGCTGCCAAGGCCACAGGGCTGGCAGTGGTCAGGCTTGGGAGCAGCTGCCCAAAGGGTCCTTTTCCTTCTGCTCTGTCAGCACAGCTCCTTCACCCCGGGGCCGCGCTCCTCAGGCTGGCATCGCCCCAGCCTGCCCTTAAGCTGTACCCCATCCTTGGAGAACAGCAGATTGGCAGCACCCACCCTGGGGAGCCTCCCCACTTCTGGGGACAGGGAGCAGCCCCTCTGAGAGGTCACTGGCGGCCCT